AATATGGAATATCGTATATGAAACCGATTTTCATACGAAATAATTGTTTTCATAATTTAATTGATGGTCGATGGTTTTATAATACATTGTAGAAATATTTTTCTCTTCATCCGACTACGCAGAGACGTTGACGAATGTTGACATAGACAATTGCATTTTTATGTATTCTTAATTAATAACAGTAGTTTTACTGTTCTTTTCGTTAAATGGGTGTGGATGGATGTGGAGTAGGTGTAGATGAGGGTGGAATGAAAAGAATACTCATACAGACATGTATTCACACCCTCAAAAAGCTTCAAAATGTGAAAATTGTCGAAAAATTCGGATGATCTGGCAAGTCTGATCACACCCTGAGTAATGCATATTCATTTGGCGTATAGTCATAGAATCGATCAAATGTTTGTTCCATACTGAATCACCCATATTCTCTAATAATGCAATAGCTCTTGTGTAGTTTGAATAAAGAGCTACGATTTCACATTTGTTTTGGGCTCAACCAGATCTGGATCAACTTACAACTAGATATTTCAACAAATCATTTATTTCATTGGTTGGCAACATACATGACACTCATAGTCATTTGCACTCTCACTCACATCGTTCAACTTCAATTCTAAGAAGAGAAGACAGTTTTTTTTATTAATTTTATGATATTTCTTTATACTTGTTCGAGATTATTTTATTAATGAAATATATATTTAGTTAAATTTTCTTGAGTAAAATAATCAAAAAAAAATTCCGGATTATATAAAATGAACTAACTAAGAATAAAAAATAAATGAATAAAATAAGTTTATTTATTTAAAACCAAATCCAGTTTTGATATAAAGTTTTCCACCACTAAATATAAGATTAACAGTACCAATGACGGTTCCAACTACTTTATATTGAACACTAACAGCAGCTACATTACCTGTACCAGCTTCTGAAGCAACATTTCCTGCATTACCAATGAATTGTGTTACTTGATCACGAGTCCATCCAATTTGTAATGATGTATATTGTTGTTGAGTAATCATATAAACTCCTGTATCTAAATTAGCTTGAGTTTTACCATAGACAATTCCTCCTTGAAAAGTAATTAAAGCTAATGCTGAAGATGATACAGCTCCACTATATTGAACCATAGTAATTTGATATTGTGAACCTTGTACTCCCGATTGAGAAATAAGAGTGCCGGAACCACCAAGAAGTGTTGTAACTTGTTGTTGAGTCCATCCAATTTGTATTGTACTATATTGCTGTAAAGTAATTTTGTTGCTGATAGCTAAAAAGTAACCGATTCCAGTTTTTGTTGTTAATTTTCCGTTAATAAAAGTAAGATCAGCATTACCAAAGGTAGCTCCAGCTGCTGTAAATTGAACTATAATGACAGCTGTACTACCTGAACCAGCTTCTGAAACATTACATCCTGCACTACCCACTACATTTGTTACTTGATCACGAGTCCATCCAATTTCAATTGTTGTAAATTGTTGATAAGTCATTGTATAAATACCAGTATCTAATCCAATTTGACCTTTACTTGAAAGAATTCCTCCTTGAAAAAGAAATGTAACTGCTGTTAAAGATGATTGTGATCCAACATATTGAACTATGGTAATTTGATATGGTGAACCTTGTGTTCCCGATTGAGAAACGATTGTACCAGAACCACCAAGCAGTGTTGTAACTTGTTGTTGAGTCCATCCAGTTTGTATTGTATTATATTGTAGAAGATTAATTTTATTGTTAATAGTAGAAGCAAAACCAACTTCAAATTTTGATACTATTTTTCCACCAACAAATCCAAGACTAACAATACCAAAGGTAGTTCCAGCTGCTTTATATTGAACAATAATCACAGCTATATTACCCGTACCAGCTTCCGAAACATTACATCCTGCACTACCAACTAACTTTGTTACTTGATCGCGAGTCCAATCAGTTTGAATTGCTGTATATTGAGCTAGAGTTATTGTATAAACTGTTGTGTCTAAACCAATTTGAGCTTTACTAAGAAGAATTCCTCCTTGGAAAAGAAATGTAGCCACTGCTAAAGGTGATTGTGATCCAGTATATTTAATAATAGTAATAGCTGTATTTCCTGTACCACTTTGTGACACAAGATTTCCGGCACTACCGATATTTTGTGTAACTTGTTGTTGAGTCCATCCAATTTGAACAGTTGTATATTGTTGATAAGTGATAGTATAAACAATTGGAGCACTATCACATTGAAATACAACAGCTGTAAAGCTCACGAATACAAAAATATAGAATGATAACATTCGTTCCAACATATTTTATTAAAAAATACGAAAATCAAAAGAAAATGTTGTCAGTATTTCGTTCGTTGATCAGTAA